ACTGTCTTATTGAACTGAATGATCGTTCTCTAGTGGAGGAGATCCAACAACACAGGACTTCAGGAAGTCTCTCCTCAGGTAAACTATCTCCTGCTCAATGCTCAGCTCTGACCTTCATCTTACTGTCATCAGAAGAAGATCTGGATGAGTTTGACTTCAAGAAATACTCTGCTTCAGAGGAGGCTCTTCTGAGAATGCTGCCAGTGATCAAAGCCTCCAACAAAGCTCTGTAAGTAAACATGAACTCATCACTTAAAGTCTTATAATCGATGAAAATCTTAAAACCATGGGAAATAAATCAGAAATTGTGAGTTCAAAGAACAGTTAAAAAACATAAACATAGTGAAATAAATGATCATCAGTCACTCAAAAAATGTTTTTTTCAGTCCAGTAGGACATGTCAGTATTTCTGTCACATTTTTGTCTGTAACTCTTATCAAACTACAAACCAGACCAAGCCAATAAGAACATGAGCTCTGATCCTTCAGCCCCTCTGAGGGGTTTATTATCCTCAGCTTGTTCACGTCTCCAACTCCAGCAGTTTGTTTTTTGTGTCACTTTCAGTGCATTGTCTCTTTTTTTATTATAAATCTCTGCTGTGACTGTCCTGTTTTCATCCAGGATGGAGGGAAAAATTGGGATTCATAATTGAAATTGCCACTCAGGTCCTGTTTCTTGACAGTATTCATATGTAACCGTAAGGCTGCCATAACCAGTGTTCCCATAGAATTACAGTTGGGTTCTCTATGGGTCCTCTACAGTTTCCTCCCAACATCCAAAGATGTGGTTGTCTTTCCCTCTGTGGGCTTAGTGAAAGAGACTGGATGGATCTCTCCTTTGTCTTTGATATATCCTTACAGCAAAGATTCTCCATGAAGTCTGTGTTTCAGCTCATCTTCTTTATACACACCTTTAACAGGAAGAGTTTTATACAGCTAGTGTTAAAAATCCAGTGTTCCTCACAGTTAATTAGCATAGCAATTACTGAATTAGTAAAATTTTCTAAAATAATTATTTTAGTTAATATTGTATGATAGTGTACACAGAATTATTAGCTCAGTAGGTAGAGTGGTCGCCCCATGATCATAAGGTCAGGGGTCGAATCCACCGAACAGCTACCCTGAGGTTCCCCTGAGCAAGGTACCATCAAGTGTACCATCAAATAGTGGGAACTGGACTGTTAGCACTCATAGTCTCATAGGTTTAAACAAAAAAAAAAAAAGGTTTAACATATAAACAAATTTTATTTGATCACATATATTGTTTTTTGTTTTGTTTTTTTTCCTTTCTCTCTCAGACTGAGCAGCTGTAACCTGTCAGAAAAAGGCTGTGAAATTTTATTGTCAGTGGTCAGCTCCCAGTCCTGTAGTCTGAGAGAACTGGACCTGAGTACCAACAGCCTGAAGGCTTCAGCAGTAAAGCTTCTGTCTGCTGCAGTGGAGAGTCCACACGCCAAACTGAATATTCTGAGGTCTGACAGATTTGTATTCTGTTTAGTTCTGTTTGTTTATATGTTTGATGTTTATTTTTGTTTATATCAATTGACAAAAATTATCAAACAATTTAACCAGTAAAAGTAAACTTTATCCAGTTATCCTTGTTTCATAGCATTTGTATTCAGTTTTAAGTTAAGGTAAACTTATCCTAACCTGCTCAGCACAAGACAATAAGCTATTTCACCCTGATTACACTTTAACAACAATCTTTATTCATGTATTTATCTTCAGACTTAACATCTGTGAACTCTCAGAGGAAAACTGTGAAGCTCTGTCCTCAGTTCTCAGCTCACAGTCCTCTAGTCTGACAGAGATGGACCTGAGTATCAGAAAACTGCAGAATTCAGGAGTGAAGCTTCTATCTGCTGGACTACAAAGTTTAAACTGTAAACTAAATACTCTGAGGTCAGATCAGAAAGCAGTTTGTTGTTAGAATTATTAATTAAATTTCATACATATGATGTTGTTTCTTAGTATGTTAATGTTTCCTTTAGAAATAGAGAGTCAACATTTAATGTTGTGAAATGTATTAACAAACTCTACATGAGTATTTGTTGTATAGACTGTCTTTTATTTTTCAGACTGAGTGCCTGTAACCTGTCAGAGAGAAGCTGTGAAGCTCTGTCCTCACTCCTCAGTTCCCAGTCCTCCAGTCTGAGAGAGCTGGACCTGAGTGACTCTGACCTGCAGGATTCAGGAGTGAAGCTTCTCTCTGCTGGACTAAAGAGTTCACAGTGTGCAGTTGAAACTCTCAGGTCAGGATTCAAACTTTTCCACAGATGATCATTTGAAATGTGACTTATATTATTGTATAAACAGGTAACTTTTATACAGCTGTCAAGTGAACTTTTATTTACATTTGAGTGGATAATTGGACTCTGAATTACTTTTAAAAGTTGTTATAGTCATGTTTTTGTTTATTAAAAAAATACTTCAATTGTACTGCCAAATTTAAAGATTTAGGCTCCTTTGCGCCTATAATATATACATTTGATTTCTTTAGGAATAAAATTAGGAAGATATTGGCGACTACTGATTGGTTCGCTGTTTTGTTTTTTATTCACATTCACTGTAGATAATGCAGGGTTCTGGTGCCGATGTGGGGGAGGGGACTCGCCCGGTACTAACTACATACTACTAACTACCTCATCCAGATGTCTTCCTTACTAACCCTGATAAGAAGTAACTGCAGTAGCCTTATAGGTCAAATCAGTTTCACCTGTTAAAGGTAGCTCCACTATTAATGGTGTCACTTGTTATTTCTGGGACCAGTTTAGTAGCCTGAACAGCTGCTTAAAGGAAAGGTTATTTTTATTATTATTATTTAATTATTAAGTCCGGGGCAACCTGCAAGAGCTGTTTGCACAAAGAATAATACTTGGACTTTTAGGTTTTATCGTTTTACACAAGGCCTAAAAGTGAATGTCCACCATTGAATTGCAGAAATTGTTATTGAGCTAATACTGATGTTGTTGTTATCTTTGGTAAGGAGAGGTTGGCGCAAGGATGAGCACAGTCAGGCCTAAAGATGCTCTTAATAATAATAATAATGGATTGCATTTATATAGTGCTTTTCGAGTCCCTCAAAGACCCTTTACAATTCCACTATTCATTCACTCTCACATTCACACACTGGTGGAGGCAAGCTACAGTTGTAGCCACAGCTGCCCTGGGACAGACTGAGCACCATTCACTGGCCAACACCAGTAGGCAGTAGGTGAAGTGTCTTGTGTTCCAAGGACAAAACGGCCAAGACAGACAGAGCTGGGGATCGTACCGGCAACCTTCTGGTTATAAGATGAGCTTCTTAACCCCCTGAACCACGGTCTTATCCTCCAGTTCTGTGTTAATGATAATCACATAACAGGAGAGCAGCTGGGCATCCAGTGGAAGTGTGATGGAAATCAAAATCCTGAATTGGATTCGGTGCGGTTGTGTTACTATCAGCTGCACGGAAATAGCTGTAAGTAATCTGGGCGCTACGGCTTTAAGCAGCTGCATGCACTCCCGCAGATGGCGATCGCTTTGTGGCAGACAATCACTTTTTGGCACAACACCTGGAGCTCAAGGGCAAAACAATGGCATGAGTGCTGCTGTTTGACTGAGGAAGAATAAAGTAGTTTCCTCAATAGTTTCGTCACTTTTACTGTCTACGGACAGTGCAGGAATAACTCTCTGCTTATGAGCAAAAAAACCCCAAAATCATCCCTTCCTGTTGGTGGAAAAATGCACCATGTCGACCAATCAAAAATATGATAGAGCAACATGACATTTGGTTGTTTAGGAAGAGGAGGAAGTTTTAGGTGTGACGGCGAGAGAGAGACATTTTAAACCAGAGATTTTTAGAATGTATTCAAATTTTATTAAGTAAAGTGATATGTCTCTAGCCCAGTGGCGGTCCTAGCCTGTTTGGC